ATCTTGTGCATGAGTGATTAATGATTATTTTTTTGATACTCTGTTGGGTTAATTAATTAATGATGGGTTCGGCGTGGGAGCTCTTCATCCATAATTATCTGTCCAAATTTATGTATTGAATGCGGTTCTCGCCATATGTGAGATTCCTGTCAAAAGAGTGTTGTCCAATAGCCGGGCTCTTTATAAAGGGCGGGAGTTAGGCTGATGGGGTTAGAACGCTGAGCCGCTGAGGACATCCTCTCTTCCTCATACACTTTTGACATAGGTGCTGATTCCAGGGATGGACCGGTTCGGGCCCGGCCGGGCCTCGGTTCATGAAGGGGAGGCCCGGAACCGGCCCGGGTAACCCCCGGGTCCGGGCCGGGCCGGACCTCGGTTCTATTTTTTTTTTGACTTTTCCTAGTTAACCCCCAACCCTCCCCCTCACCCCCAAACTAATCCTAACCACCTCAAATGGCCCAAAATACCCAGCCCAACCCTAAAACTTAAAAAAAATTCAAAAAAAAATGGCCCGGTTGGGCCGGTTCACCTTTTGAAGGGCCCGAGCCTGAACCGACATCCCAGCGGGTCGGGTGGCCTGAATCGGCCAACCAACCGGTTCACCGGGCTGGTCCGGGCCCGAACAGTAGCGGGCTGGTCCGGTTCTCTGCTGGTTGGCCCGGCCCGAGTCCAACCCTAGCCGGTTCAGCTAGATTGGCATGGTCCAAGAACTCACAGTTAGCATGTCCGGTGCTGCCTATGCTGCTTGCTCGGTCATGACGTCTGGTTCAAGCCTTTTCTGACTAAAATGAGTATTTAACACATGCTCAAAGCCAAGGGGTGCGTAGTTACGTACTGTTTGGGACTCAATGGACTCCGAGCTAGTATAAAACCCTCGTGTCCTTTACTCATTGTAATTTCAATTCTACGATGGTTAGTCATATTAATGTAATAGACCTAGACCTACAGATGGTTTCAGTCCCAGACTAGATAAACCTGATCGGACCACATCAAATCAGACCGGACATTTATTAGACCAGATCAGAAAATTTCAGTCCAAGTAAAAACATTCTTAATGCACAAATCTAGATGTACATATTAAAAAAAACTCTTACTATTTTATCCCATGCTCTAACCTTTTATTGCGCATTTCAGCCTTTTAGAGTAAGCTCCATTCTTGACGAATGCTCCAACCTCTTAGAGCGCTCTCTAATTTCTTGGAACACATTCCAACCTCTTAGAGCGCTCCAACTTTATAGAGCACGCCCCAACCTTTTAGAGCGCACATCATCTTCAGAGCATGCTTCGACCTCTTACAGTGGACTCAAACATTTTAGAGCGCGCTCCAACTTGTTACAGTGCGCTCCAACTTATTAGAGCGCCCTCCAACTTGTTCGAGTGCGCTCCAACTTCTTAGAGCGCGCCTCAACTTCTTAGAGTGCGCCCCAACTTCTTAGCGCGCACTTCAACTTGATAGAGTGCGCTCCAACTTCTTAGCGCGCTCCAACTTCTTAGAGCCCTACAACTTCTTAGAGCGCGCTCCAACTTCTTAGAGCGTGGCCCAACTTGTTATAGTGCGCTTCAACTTCTTAGAGCGCCCTCCTACTTTTTAGATCCTGATCCAACTTCTTTGAGCGCACTCCAACCTCTTTGAGCGCGCTCCAACATCTTAGAACGTGCTCCAACCTGTTAGAGCACACTGTAATTTCATAGAGCGCGCTCAAACTTCTTAGAGTACGCTCCAACCTATTATAGCGCTCTCCAATCTGTTAGAGCGCTCCAACTTGTTAGAGCGCGCGACAACTTTTAAGAGCGCGACACAACTTTTTAGAGCGCCCTCATACCTTTTAGAGTGCGCTCCAACAAGCTCCAACTTGTTAGAGCACGCTCCAACTTCTTAGAGTGTGCTCCAACTTGTAAGAGCATGCTTCAACTTCTTAGAGCACACGCTCCAACTTTCTAGAGCACCCTCCTACCTTTTAGAGTGCGCTCCAACTTGTAAAAGCGCGATCCAACTTCTTAAAGCACGTACTCCAAGTTGCTAGAGCGCGCTCCAACTTCCTAAAGCGCGCTCCGACTTCTTAGAGTTCAGTTCAACTTGTTATTAGAAGAAGAGATCAATCACAATGTCCAAAAGTCATTCTCTGAATCACTTACTCAACCCCAAGCCAAAAGGTGGAACCACCCACCCCAGTCAACCTCCCACCGCGACCTGACAGAATGATGAGAGAGTAAATTATAGTATGATCTCCAACATATTCACAATGAGGGTGTTCAGAGTGTGGTGCGCATTGAAAGCCACCATATTGGATGAAACTCTCACAATGTTGTTGTCATAGATTAAACATGAGACCCTCACCGAGTAACCACATTCAATAACCTTTGAGCTACCCGCACGGTTCTGAATCATTTGATATAACTACAGAAGGCTCATTCGCTAAATGAATAACTCAATGCTGTGTACTAGTAAAAAACACTCACAAAGAAGTACGTGATTGTACCATCTATCAATAAAGTAGGAATGTTGGTTTAATTTGTTTTGGATGGTCAAATTTATATGTAAGTCTGATTCGGTTTGTGTTAATTAAGTCTGAATGGTTTGATTACAAGACTGAGTAATGCAACTATTACACAAGTTGAATGGTGGGGGAGAGGAGGGAGATGCAGACTAAAACAAACATATATTAGAGGAATCATAAGTGACACACACATACATGGATTGGATGAGAGTGTGACTTTGAAGAAAGTAAATTGGAGGACGCCTATTCGTGTAGAAGATTGATATGTTTTCTTTTTTTTCTTTTTTTTTCGTTATGTTTTTATGTTCTTATGTTATTTTAATCTTTTATCTTTCTTATATTCTTTTATCTACTTTTATCTTTATTTTTTTTATCTTACCTTATCTTTTATTTTTCTTATTTTCCTTTTCTTTTTTATTTCGATATCATGATTTGATTCACATTGATCAACCACCAAATCCTTTGAAAATAAGACTTCAATGTTCTTTGTAATTTAGTCTGAATGGTTCTATTATATTTTACGTGATTATCATAAAAAATGATCTGATTTAGGACATTAATGTATTTAAATAAATTCATAAGTCTAATTTCACTCAACTTTATTCAATAATTAATGCGTGTAATACTCACAATTTGCTGGTCTGGTCTGGTCTGGTCTGATCTGGTCTGATCTGGTCTAGTCTGGTCTGGTTTCTTTGTATTTTGTATAACTATCCAAGTCTGGTCTGGTCTGATCTGGTCTGGTCTTGTCTGGTTTGGGAGGAATTACGGTCCAAGTAAAAACATCCTAACATAATAATGCCACAAGCTCGCAATCTGGCAAAACAAAGTTGTTATGTCACTGCTCACTAAACACAATCAACATCATTAGGCGTGTTGCCAATAAGTATTCCCTCCTTATATATCATCCGTTCCGAAAAGATTTGTCAAATTGAATTTTCTTGATCAATGATGACCAACTTTCATCAATGATATTTTTTCACATGCAATTATTTTGATTATTACAATTATATCAAAATATTTCTTATTCAAAATATTTTTCATAAAAGTATAAAATTTTAGATTATATACAATATAATAATTAAAATAATTGCCGAAAATTTGTCACAATTGATCAAGAAAAATCAACATGACAAATCTTTTGGGGACAGAGGTAGTATCAAATAAAAGGAGTCTATCTCAAATAAAACTTAGACTTCGTTTTGTAATATTATGATTAGTTGAACTAGTCGAATCTATGAAAATTCTTGAAATTCCGACTGAAATAATTGAATTAGTTTCATACATAATTGTGAAAGAAATTATATTTAAAAAAATATTTTATTGATAAAATTAAGAAAAAATACCCCGTATGAAAAATAGTCGCAATAGTCCTCTACCTCTCTAGAGTAACTTGAGTAAATTCAAACAAAAAAGTAAGTCTGACCTTATTTCTTTTATTGCTAAACAATTCAATGCACGAAATTAAAAGTTACTCCGTATGTGTTTAATAATAAAATAATGAATATGATTGATAAATTGGAAACAGTGATTGTAAAAGGTGCTTTTAATCGTTATGTTTTGCATATTTAAATGATAGTAAAACTATGTAATTAAATCAATTGATATAATTATTAATGTCCAAAACATAATAAAATTCTATCAATCTTAGGGTTTCGCGTTTGTATTATTGGAATCATCGATTCGGCATTCATATTATATTCCACAGATCCTCTTTTCGTGACTAGTTGTTTCACAATTCGCTAGATTGTGGGAAAAGGACGGGGAATACGGTACGTGTTGCGGTCTTTCTCTCGCTTGTCAAAAGCTAGGGTTTTACTCTCGCGTGTCGAGAGCGTTGCAATGTTGCACTTCTCTAAATATGTTTTTCTTTTACATTTTGATCAAATGCAGGTTCAAGAAAGGATAACCACGACTTCTATGGATGATATAGAGCAGCGTTATCTCATTCCAGCAATTGAGGAGGAGCTAGAAGGGTTGGTTTTTGGTATATCAACATGGGTGGAGGACGATAGTGGAGGCGGCACTGGTGACGAGCAGACGGAGAGCGGTGAAAGGCAGAGCAAGAGAGAGGACAAATTGTCGGTCTGCTCCCTTCTGAACCGCCGCCTTGGAGCGACAAAAAAAAACTGCAGAAAGGAGTTTGAGGTATTTATCGATTATTTTATTTTTTATGATCTTATTTTATGTATCTCGTTGAGGTCTTTAATTTTAGGTCTACAATTATGAATTTATGATGGACAATTCTGCTAAATTCTATGTCGTTAGAAGGATCTCTATGACAATTGATAGTTATGTCGCACTTATTTGGTGATTAGGACTCATATTGTTCTTTCAAGGTGATTGTTTCTAAGTCTAGTTGTATGGTCGATAATTCTAATTAGTTATATATAGTTGTTGTTAGTGTTAGTTTGTTAGATTTTATTGTAACGATATGAATTATAATAATATTAATATAAATGGTTTTCCTTTTAAAAAATATTAATGTCCAAACTCCAAAGTATTCAACACAAAGTGCGACTCACTATTCTAGCGACTTATAGGTATAGCAGCTGCCTATTCCATTCCCACGATGACTCACTCTCAGCCGGCCAAAGTGGCAAACCCAAAATGACGGTAAAAGAAGTTAAAGTTACGGATCAATTCTTTCAAATGACTTGAACAGCTAAGAACCGAAATTCAGAAGCCTTTGCACTTTTAGAATTTGTTTCCTTCTCCATAAAATTTCTTCCTGGAGTGATCTTCACTTCACTTTCTAGATTACACTTCCTTTTATCCTTTTAAATCAATTTCTTGTATGAGAAGTCTAACCATGCCTGGCCGGAGAGACAAATCCGGCCAATCAACTCGCGGATCTCGAATCGGGGCGGCGATAGCTGTCGGGGTTCTGATGGGCTGCATCTTTGCTTTCTTCTACCCCAATGGATTCTTCCCAGCCAATGTCCCCCAGACCGAAAGTCGCAAGCTCTCCAAACATAATCTTCAGGTCTGTATTTATGTAAACCATTACCAGTAACATTTTCATTCTCTCTTCAATTTTATTTATGCGCGCCATTTTGGTTGAAATTTTAGTTCAGTCGAGACTGCACTGTATAATTCTTACGTAGTCTGTAGTATGTAATTTTGCGGATCGGACAAACTATTTAATCCAGAAGCTTTGTGATGGAATTTCCGAATCTAGGTTAGATATGCTTACATCGTTTGTGCATGATGAGGCGAGGTGAGTTTCACTATGATGTGTGACTTATGGACCAAATATTGCGCTCTCCTCAGAAAATGCTTACCCAGTTTTGAGCAGTTTTTGAACTTTGTTTGATCAATTTCCTTTTAAGTACGTTTTGTAGCTCTAAATGCTGCTCCTATTAATTAATGATGATTTTTAAGTTAATTAAGTATGAAGGAATCGTATCATTCGTAAGCATTTGCAAATCTAGCATGTGGTATCATGCATTTTCGATTTGAATTCATCATCTCTTGAACCCCTCTAAATGAAGATTTCCCAAAACAATTGGTAGCAATGGCGGTAATCTGGAGTACTTATACTGATTGATTGATTGATTGTTCTCATGGTCAATGGTATGCTTCTCAAAATTTTCTGTTAATTCATAGGTTGACTCTTCCACATGTGAATCTCCTGAGCGGGTGAATTCGTTGAAACTAGATATCATGAAATTGTCTAACAAGAACTCCGAGTTACAGAAGCAAGTGAGGGAGCTAACTAGTAAGTTGCGTTTGGCAGAGCAGCAAAAGGGGAACGTAGATCAACAAATTGCCGTGTTGGATAAACCCCAAAAACCCGGTCCATTTGGCACTGTCAAGAGTCTGAGAACCAACCCTCCTGTCATTCCAGACGAATCCGTCAACCCAAGACTGGCTAAGATCTTGGCAGAAGTTGCTATTGGGAAAGAGATCATAGTTGCACTAGCAAATTCGAATGTGAGATCCATGCTTGAAGTATGGTTTACAAGCATTAAAAAGGTTGGCATATCAAATTATCTAGTTGTGGCTTTAGACGACCCCATTCTGGATTTTTGCAATGAAAACAAAGTCCCGGTTTACAAGCGGGACCCAGATGAGATGGTTGATTCTGTAGGGAAAATTGGGGGGAACCATGCAGTGTCTGGATTGAAGTTCAGAATCTTGAGAGAGTTTCTACAGCTGGGTTATAGTGTCCTCCTCTCTGATGTTGACATTGTTTATTTACAGAATCCTTTTGACCATTTGTATAGGGATTGTGATGTGGAGTCGATGAGCGATGGGCACAACAACATGACAGCTTATGGATACAATGATGTCTTCGATGAACCTGGAATGGGATGGGCACGTTATGCTCATACGATGCGGATATGGGTGTATAATTCCGGGTTCTTCTACATAAGGCCAACCATTCCTTCAATCGAACTACTTGACCGAGTTGCTGATCGGCTTGCCCGGCAGGCAAAGGCGTGGGACCAAGCGGTTTTCAATGAGGAGTTGTTCTTCCCGTCACATCCAGGGTATGTTGGACTTCATGCTTCTAGGAGGACCATGGATATATACCTTTTCATGAATAGTAAGGTCTTGTTCAAGACTGTGAGGAAAGATTCTAATCTCAAAAAGTTGAAGCCGGTTATAATTCATATAAATTACCACCCCGATAAACTTCCCAGAATGCAAGCTGTTGTCGAGTTCTACGTTAATGGGAAGCAAGATGCTCTGGATTCATTCCCTGAAGGTTCTGAGTGGTAAAACGTTATTTGTTTTCTATGGGACATTCACTTGGTTTTTTTCCCAGATCTGTTTTTTCTATCCATACTTGTAGCCTCGGGCAAGTTTCCTTCTGGGCTTCCATGTGTAAGATTACGTGTCAGACGAAACAGCATGTCATGCTTCTCAACGGTGGATGTGAAATATACCTTTGTATTAACCCTTGTTTTCTTCTGATTTATTGTGAATTTTCAGTGAGCGAGTAGCATAACTTACTAGAGGATAATTGAGTTAGGGTGCTGAAAAAGTTTGTTCTTCACAGCACACTTCTAGTACACGATAAATGATTTCTTTTTTAGGTACAACAGAAACGACAGCACACTTCACAGCACATTTCTTTTTTAGAAAGCTGTTATATTCCCAAAAGGTATCTTTAATAGTCTGAACTACCTCCAATCTAAATTCATTTATCCTACTCCTATCTCATCTCTTAATGGAAGCATAGTTGACTTCTCCCTAAAAAAGTAAAAAGCTTCATACTTTTTTTGCATGGGTACATCATTACACGATTCAAAGTATGAAGCTTCAGAGGATTTCAGCAACCACGCAACATACGTGTATTAACACTTCAGAACACATATTTTCTTCATTTTTAGAGCTTAATACAAGTAATTAATAGTTCCATACTTGCATGAAAATACATGCAGAGAGTACTAGAGAGGTGCTGATAACCCATTGTCCTTCATCATCGAAATATACTTGTAAGGTGCAGCAGCGCCTGCCTTGACGCACATATCTATAACGGCCGGAGCATGCCCATAATAGTCTCGACCTTCATCCACAAGTACCCATGGATCTTGAGGTCTCCGATACCATACTATCTTTGGAGGGACAAAATCGTCCACTACTGCCTTCTGCCAGACATGAGCCTCATGCCGACTCTCATTGACTCCACCTAAGGGCACCACGTGAACTTCTGAACAGAGTTTGCATACCTTTGCTGGGAAAACCAGCATCAGCTTTTCCACGCCATTCCTGACCGATTCATAAGCGCTTAGTGTCTCTTTTGCTACAGACTCCATTTCCTTGTCCAGTAGATCTGCAGTTTCAAACCTGTTTCCTGGTTCTGTACTGTTTGGATATTCACTAGGGAGAGTAGCACCTGCTCGTAAGCAGAGTTCTACTACTGCTGGGATATGTTCATGATCAGATCTTTCTTGGGCATAGTGAACTGCTTCTACAGGAACCAGAATGTCATTCAAGAGCGCTTTGATCCATTTATGAGCCTCAAACTTTGCAAGACGCCTGTAACCACCACAAGTTCGGATTAAATGACCTCTCTCTCCAATGTACACTTCTGGACAGTATCTGCAATAGAATTTTCCAATTCATAACTTCTCTTTTAGACACACTAGAGATTAATACATTTCTCTCTCTGCAATTTCAATTATGTATGGCTGGTTTAGTTCTGGGATTCCAGTGGGGGGGAGGGGATGCTTGATTTTTGTTTTAAAAACTTATCTCTAGACTCTAGTACAACAACAACATGGAAAAAAACAGTGGTCATGGCATATGGTGACCAAATGATCATCATGGAGCCAAGGCAGTTTGCCTTGGCCATGGCAAATTTATTGTGTCACCGTATTACACAAAAAACAAAAAGTATAAATATGAACCATAGACAATATCGTTATATGGTTCATCCACCAAAATAACTAATCAAACACACTTAAAGAATGAAAACCAGCAAATAAACTACAAATAGAATTTAAATGAATAAATATAAACTATAAAATAGATATAAACTGGAACTAAACTTGCAAATAAACATAAACTGTAAGTCTGTTCTTTTCCGATGTACCAAAATAAATAAATAAACTGTAAGTCTGCATAAATTGCAAGTCGCAAACTAGAAACAACAACAACAACATCCAAGCCTTAGTCCCAAAAGATATTGGGATCGGCTAACATGAATCGATACATGATATCACAACCAAAAGGAAAAGAAGGAAAAAAGATAAAAAGATAAGCAAACTAGAAACAAATTGGAAATAAACCTGCAAATTCAATGCAAAGTGCAAACAAACATAAACTACAAGCTAGAAATAAACCGGAAAAGAACCCTGCCATACTGCCGTGTTTATAAACACTGTACATTTGTACTTTTAAAAATTGCAGTTGTTTAAAAGTGAGGGATCTGACCATTTGAGAATATGCAAACTATTACGATTCAATGAATCATTAAACAAGCATATCTAGCAGACTAATATATTAATATCTAGTATAATCATGAATTACATATTATATACTCTGTCATAATATACAGATCTCTAACTTCTAATATTTAATAATGAAAAAATTCCACTTTTGGTCCCATGACTATTATACCACTTCCACATTTAGTCCCTTACTTTCAGATTGTCCACATTTAGTCCGTGACCATTATCCCCTCAGCACCCCTCGTCCTTCCGGCAAAAATTCCGGCAAATTTAGTCCACTTATCAACCTCAAAATCAGTCTTTGCATTAAATTTTATATAAGGTTGGGTTTTTCATATCAAGTTTTGCATTAAATTTGGTTTTTAATACCTAAAATCTACATTAAATTTGCCGGAATTTTGGCCGGAAGGACGAGGGGTGGTGAGGGGATAATGGTCACGGACTATATGTGGACAATCCGAAAGTAAGGGACTAAATGTGGAAGTGATATAATAGTCGTGGGACCAAAAGATGAATTTTTTCTTTAATAATAGATATGTTGATATTAATATATTACATATCCTATTATATTCATATGAGTCTTGACAATAAGGTAAAAATGAGGATACCTCAGTGTATATGGAGTTTGTAAAAGAAAATGACCGAAAACAATCAACTATTCAGGTATTAATAACATTTACCTCAGTTGGGTATTACGTTTCTTAATTCTTTATTGTGGCATAAGTCTTAATCGACAATTATTAATTAGGGTTAAGGATTTAATTAATATGGCCCTATATGGCTATATGTAAAATATAAAGTTGAGTAAAATATGAGCCAACTTGTGGCACAAATGGTGATGGTGCACAAATGGCCCCGCCACATGTATAATTGACATGAGGGATTACTTTTGTGGCGATAGGCCCTTAAACGGTTAAACGCCAATGGCAATAAATGGAAATCACCATTTGCGCCATTGACTACTATGATCAGGAATAAGTACGGAGTACATGTTAAATTAAATATTGTGATGTTGTATAATATTTCATCCTGACTTTCTATTTAGTTGCCTAAATGTCAGAATAACTTGATATATTATTAGCACTCCCATTCCATCTCCAGCCAAACCAAACAAGCCCTTGTAGTAAAGAAAATTCAGGTATAGTATTGGATATTGATCGTAGTTTTCCCTACCATTTCTAATTATATGAAAGGAAATTTACAATAAAATGTGGGATTCTGCAATCCCAAATATGGTACACTCTGGAAGTGAAATGTAAGAAGCATTTTCGACATAGATATAATCAGCCTGTTAAAAAGCACTAGAGGGTCTCTACTCACACAGTATAGACTGTGTCATATCAGTTAATTGAGCTTATGAAGGGATTAGTCATCATAAGAAGAAAGGGAAAACTATCAAATAAGCCCTCGAACTTTCATGAAAAGTGCAAATAAGTCCTTTTATAGGAGGCTCTGTCCGGTCCTGGCCATTTGACACGGTTTCCGGTGGAATTTTTTGATGAAATTTTTTGAGCATCTTCTTCATTAAGTCTAGTTTACTCATAGCAAATTTCAGCTAAAAAATCAATCGGGAAGGCGGTCAAATGAATTTTTGAAGATAACTGTGCATTTAGGCAGCGCGTTATATTTCAGAAAATCATTTGACTGCCTTCTCGATTGAATTTTTAGCTGAAATTTGGTATGAGTAAACTAGACTTAATGAAGAAGATGCTCAAAAACTTTCATCAAAAAATTCCACAGGAAACCGCCCCAAAAAATAGCTTATTTGCACTTTTTATGAAAGTTCGAGGGCTTATTTGATAGTTCTCCCTAAGAAGAAATCATAGTAAGTCTATAATGTATTTAGCTGAAATACAAGCTCAAAGTTGAAAAGAATGTAGCTAGAAGTGTTAAAGTTGAAAGCTACGATTGGTGGTAGAAGTGTTCGGTAAAATTAGTTTAGTTGAGTAGCTCATTTACGTAAAAGGGCATAAAAAAAGTATCATTTTTATAAAAGGTTGTTAGTGAAGGCCAAACAAATAGAAACTTGTTTCTGAAATGCAGTAAGAGATTGCTTGTCAAATAAAAGCATACTTTAAAGTTTAAAGCTCTAATGAAGTATTTACTTAGCAGATTCCACAATTATGTTACTTGGAAGTTGAACTTAAAATAAGCAATCTAAATTTTCTGAACTAATTTTCATATTTGAAACTTTTGCATATACTCTTTTCTTACCTCAGGAAAGGAAAACTATCACCGATGTATATTAATATTATTTCTGGATAATGGGTGAATTTGGTAGACACGTGTTTTAAAATGCTACAAATATGAACACATAAGTGGTTATTATCATAGGCTCAGAAAAGTATTCCAAACAAACAGATCATCTGCAACAGTGAGAACAATTACTTGCACGCCCAGACAGGCAAATGGTGGAGGAGGGTGGACACACCGCTGTAGAGTAAATCTCGGGACTTGAGGACTTCCTGAGCCACAGGGGCAGTCTCATGGAAACGGTAATCCTTTGCCCAATTCTGAACCTTCTTCATGATGAATGGTTTCAGCGCTTTCAATTCCACCACTTTCGAATCCGAGCTGTAGGATCGGCGGGATCTCGCCTTCGGGACTTCCAGCAGCAACTCACTTCGTATCCACATCTTGGCGGTTTTCCTAGCCATTTCCGACGAGTGTGTATTCGCCGGTTTTACACCTGCGGCAGCGTGGGATCATTGATGTTCCAAATCGGCGACGGAGGACGGTTGATCTGAGAGGACAACGGCTTTGCAAGGAAGCGTGAGTTTGAGTATAAAATAGTTGCCCTATAAAGCCCAAGTAAATACTCCCTCCTTCCCGCTAACAATGAGACAAGAGGGAGTGACACACAAATTAATAAAAAGTTGTTTATGTGGTTGATAATGAATTGTCAAAGTAAGAATAAAGTAAGAATGATTTAGAGCCACACAAACTTTGCCAAATTTGGTATGAGACAATCATAGTGGGACGGACCGATAAGGTAAAATAGGACAATCATAGCGGTAACGAATATATTTAGCTTTTGGTCGTCCCAAACTCATTAAAGTAACTATTTTGTTGTTTTACTCATTTCTCTCTCTTCTGCACAAATGTCAAACACATAATTTTTACTAACTTAAAAAGTGCAAAGTCCATTGGGACGGAGGTAATAGCTTTTATTATTCTGTCACTATTTCTGCTTTCGGGATTACTGAAACTGTTCTTTATTAACCGTCTCATATTCCATTTTGGGATGTTTTTAATTATTTGTTTTTCTTTCCTTTTTGGTAAGTTTTTTCAATCAAAATACCTTTATACTCTCACTTTTATTACCATTACCCCTTTCTCTTTCCTACTTTTTCATTTACCCACAACCCACTACACCTTTTACACTATCCATATTATTTTCCGCTTAAAACCCGTGCAAAAGACTAAGAGGACAGATAATAAAGAACGGAGGGAGTATTTATTAATAATAAAATAGTTGAAAATTAAAAAGTATGAATACATTTTGAATAGAACAAACACAAATTAATATGAACTGAAAATTTGTTTTAAAATAGAAATAATAACTTAAAATGAAAGTAATAAAAACAAAATGAAATGGAGAGGGTATAAGATACTTCATTTGTTTCTCAATTAATTTTGTGATAAACATTTCACGATGTCCGATATTAACATTTGACCGTTGACATGTAAATATATACACTTGTAAAACTTATAACAATACTCATATACACTTATAACAAACTAACATTTCAACAATAAGTTGTATATATTAAAATGAAGCATTCAAAATTATTTTGGTATTATAAAGTAATACGATTTTTGACTGATTACCGATCAAAGTTACAAAATTTAACTCAAAAAGTCAAATTTCACTTGAATTAAACTGCTAACTACTTCATTCTTGAATTTTATATCCTTATGTTCATCTTTGGCCCTTCCCGATAGCTAGAATCGTTTTTTGTTATTACAAAACCATCGTGTTGTTATTATTATTAACTTATTCACTATTTCCCATTAAAACAAGAAAACGATTTCATTTTATTAACCAGGTCACAGCAAACTTCATTTTACTTTATTCGTTAGTGATTCTAAAACCTTTCACAGACCCCATGTTTAATTAAAAGATATTTCCCGTATCCCATTTTGTTTGTCATACTTTCCTTTTTGAATTATCTCGAAATGAATGTCATGTTTTATTTATTGACGAGAAATATGTGGTTTATATCAATCATTTCACTTCATTGAGAGATTTACCCCAAAATAGAAGTACCTAGTTTGAACATCCTTAAATAGGACTTTTTATTTATGAATGAACGAAAATGCCCTCATCTGCTGCCCCTGGACTGCTGGCTGCCGCCGCCGGACCTCCGGCCCAGCCAGATTTTGCCGCCGTTCACCGTCGTCCACCGCTGTCGCCAGAATCCACCGCCGCCGCCACCACTAGACTACCTTAATTGGATTGATTAATTAATTAATTAATTCAATTGGGGGTAAAAATGAAATGGTTAATCTATTTAGGCAAAACCAAACATGTCCTATTTCGGGAAGAAACCTACTCCCTCCGTCCCGGTCATTTCTTCCAATTTTGACCGGTATCGCAAATTTAGGTAGTGGGAATAAAGTGAAAATGTATGGTTGTAGTTGTGTAAGAAAAATGTGAATGAATGTGAACCACATATTTTTTCTAAAAGTGGAAATTGTAAGAATTAATTGGGACGGCCCAAAAAGAAAAATTGGAAGAAATGACCGAGAAGGAGGTAGTATATTTTTGTCTTAGCCGTATTAATTTCCTCCGCTTCATTTTACTCAAATTTCAAACAATTTTTTACTTTTCAACCAGTGTATTAATAAGTCAGCAACGCCGCACTCTTCCGCCTATTCGGATCGCAACGACCGAGACGACAGAGACGAGAGACGAGCCAACGACCTGCACCGGCACCCCTGCAACCCCCCAACGTCGACCGCAACCCGTAGAATCCTAGGATTTCCGCCACTCTACTCAGCAATCCATCCAGGTAAAGTGCCCCAAAATGCTAGTTACGCTTTTAGCTCTACCCCTGCTTTATCTCATATATTGGTCAATCCAATCAATAATACGCGATGGAAAAATCAAATGAGAAATGAAAGCCATAGACGAACCCACTGTCATATTCGTTAAAATGTAAATTCAAACCTGGTTCATTTGATGCCAGAATTCGCAAGAGGCGATATTGATTGCAGCCCCTAACTGCTATTGACTTATTGCTGCTTTATGGAAATGCACATAAATTAGTGCAAACGAATTCTGGTTGATTATAAAATTTCAAAATTTTACAAACCATCATTTAGAAAAGCTAATGTGGTCATTGATAAAATTAGTACTTGCTAGGTACTAATGAAATCCCTTAGAGAACAATTGTGTTGACTAATGATGTGTTTTTGTGTATTCGGTTTTAATGAAAACTCTTATTCATGTAAAATATTTGTGATATTTGTTTTCTGCACTGTACTTTTATTTGTAATTGAAGTAGTTTTATATATTATTTTTTTGGCCCCTACTGGATTTTTAGAATATATATGAACAAGAGACAGACTTTTATAAAATATAAAACAATGATTTCATTTTTAAGGTGCATCTTTACAGTTTTTCACTTTTTCTGCGTCAAGACTCTTGATTTCGTTTTCCTTTTAAGTTGTTTTTTGTATGCCGATGTTTCCATCTTTTCTGTACAAGGACCTGGTCCAGTGCCCTGTTGGTTGCTATACCTTCATTTCCCCTGGCAGATCGACGTGGTGAGATCCTGCACTTTTACATCCCGCACGTTGATCCGTCATTCAGACCTAAATTTCCCGTCTTAATTATGAGTTATGACCCCGACCACCCAGACTTGTCCGAGGCCTAAGATTGTTAGATCTTACAAGTTAACGTGTGATCTTAACAACCCTGCTTGTTATCTTTCCATTAGCCATTTTGTTTGAAATATCAATTTATTTCCCCTAGTTGTATGTTTGGGACAGGGAAGGACATTCTGGTAGTAATTTTTCTTCTGTTGCCTCCATCTATGTTTGGAGGCCTTGTGAGTGCTAATGCAAACAGTCCGCATCTACGGAAGTCTGGAAGCCGAGTAGTTGTTTCTGACTTTGGTAAGGGGTGGTTTTGTCTTTGAGTATCGGTAAATCCATCAATTGATTACCATCTCTTTTCTTGAAGTGGTTAAACAGTATGTGCTCACCGTAGTTAATAATAAACTGCTAGGTACTGTTGAGTTGGGAAGTAGTGCTGAAGATTTTCTGCATGCAACTGAGGTCAACGAAATGAAGGGTGTGAACACACCATTGGCCAGCACGGCAATATTGCCATCTCCGGTCTTGCTTTGGAGATTTAAGGTCTTCATTCCATCTTAGTTGCCTACTTGCCTCTCAAAATCAATGGCCAGGATAGCTTTACAATTTGCTTTTATCCATTCAAGTACAACATCTTGCTATAGCTGTTATAGAGGAGTTCATTGACCATGTTTTCTGGGTACATTATTTCAGTTCAAAGGGTGTGTGGATATAAAAATAACAAACTTAGTGTGGACTAAATGTGCAGGAGAAATATGATTTAGAATTAAGTTTTGTAATTGGCTATATACCTAAAACACTGAATTGCCATTGGATTAGTATTTCATTTTCTCTGGAGAGGTATACGATATTCTTGAATGACACTGGAATGCTGGATATCTTGTTCATTTTTCCATGCTATTTCTGTTGTTGCATGTAAGCATAGTAGTATATCATGCTGGTTATGGGTACTGTTTGTCTCAAATCTTATATAGTGTATTTGTAGAAGTGTCTAACAAAGATAACATTTTCAGGTAGTTCTTTTTCTCATGTGGGGGTTCGCTTGTTGTAAGGTCGGTGTGAATTGTATTCTCATGGCTTGTTCACATAACCCCTGTACTACACAATATGATAACATATCATTTTATGGAATTATTCTTTTCTATAACTTCTTTAAGCTGATATCTGAGTACAATCAGCAGATTAGCTGGGATTCAGTTATGAGAATGAGTGCAAACTTGAGGGATTTGTTTTTATACGAGGCTTTTCTGTATTACAATCCTCTACTACTTGTGGTAAGTTTGCTTTCAGTTTTCTTAAAGACCTTACAAGCTACTCCCCCCGTCCCATAACATAGTTCCCGCATTGACTTGGATCGGAGTTTAAGAAAGTGGGAATAAAGTGGTAATGTATGGTTGTGGTTGACTAAGAAAAAGGTAAATGAATGTGAGCCACACAAAACTTTCCAAAAAGGGAAATGAGAACTATTTTTTGGGACGGCCCAAAAAGGAAACCGGGAACTATTTTGCGGGACGGAGGGAGTATATCTTTATCAGTTTATTGCTTTCAGTATGAGTGTGAACTTAAGATTGTTTCCTCAGTTTCCCTCTGTTTGATATTGCAGACTATGATGGTTTGGTTTTGGGGTGTGAACTTATGGGTCTTCATGCAGTCTAGTGTTAACTATGCTAAGATTTTTGACCTCGACCAGAATCATCTCACTCACAGAGAAATTTGGAGGGTAAATTATTTAATCAAGTGAACTGTGAACATCTACTCAAATCTGTACAGTGACATGCTTGCCTTCACTTCATATTGCAGTGTGCTACCTGGATGACAATAATTGTCCCTACTAGCATGACCGCGTATCTATATCTTTATTCACATGGAGAAGTCTCTTTGGCTGCCTCCCAACCAGTGTAATAGATGCTTCCACTTCCAATACATTTGTAATCTGTTTTCATATATATGCTGTTGGCTACACCCTTTTTAATATTTAGTCATAGTAAATTCTCTACAGTTTTCAAGTTTTCGAGTTTGTGATCTTAACATTAAATTCTCAGTTTCTCACATAAATGTTGAATTACGTAACAGAAAACAAGGCTTTTCACCAGCCATCTATTTTCTCTGTTAATGAGTTTTTGATTCATGATACTAACTTTGACTATATGCAAGTGCAGGTCCTCTTATATGCTGTTCTTGCAATGGCACTAATATCTCCCTTTGATATTTTTTATTTATCAACTCGTTTCTTTTTCCTGAGGACCTCTTGGAGGATTGTATTCCCACTACAGGCATGTTTGTGTTGCATTTTTTAAATCAGCAAAGTTTTTTTTCTTGGGTGGAGCCTAGCTTCCTGTCATGGTTCTATTGCTTGAGGTTTCAGACACACAACACATTCTCACTGAAAACGAATATGTTTTTATTTAATTTCTATTCTATGATTGCAGGCAATTACTTTTCCGGACTTTTTTTTGGCCGATATATTTACATCCATGTCAAAGGTAAGCATATATTGGCATGTTCCTTAATGAAATTGTATGGGACAAACCCACTGGCTCATGCCTGTGTCCCATAGTTCCACCACACCGTAAATAGAAGTAAATGCTAACTGATTTATTCTCTCTTAAAAAGGTGTTTGGTTAGACTAGCCCCTACTCCCAGTTTTTATGATGTAATGAATGTTCTTGTTCCACACAACTATTCAAGTTTATATTATGAGAAAAGTGCCAATATGTAGAATCACTTTGTTCGAGCTTATTATGTTGCTAACACTTGGCATGTTGTGTTCGAACTGCCTCAACATGAAAACATGTACTTTTCAAAACTTATTAGCTATCTTAACCTTATTTTCTCTTCCACTTGTATTTACTATGAACTTGGGTTGGTCACCCCCTCCCTGATTTCGCTTACAGTAGTCTGCCTTGGAAAATACAACTAAAATGAAGCATGATTGATTTATGAAATAAGAAGTTGTATAGTTAGATTTCTTAGTCTGGATATAATAGATATAAATAATACGGGTTTCAATAAATAACTGAAATAAATTTATTGAGTTATTGTTTATCCTTTGTTTTCCATCAACTTTTGTAACACCCCCCTTGCCCTAGCCTTCCAGGCTGGGTAGGGGTGTTATGTTTAAAATGTGGAGGCTTCCGAAATTCTGAACTCTTATAAAATTACTATCATTAGCCTATTTACAATAACAGTATTCATGGAGTATTTTCAAAAGAAATGAAATAGTAAGTTGACGCTTTGGTGCTCCGGCACCACGGGTAGCGCTCCCTGCCGATCCTGGCGGGCCGGCTAGGGGGTGTTACAACTTTTCTTTCACTAGCATCTTCCAAGCTCCTTTCGGTTTCCCACTCTGACTTGGGGATGCAGATAACCATTTCATATTTGCATGTATAATATGCGGTTAATTTTTGGCAGGTCTTTTCAGATTTGGAGCGTTCAGTTTGTCGAATGGTTCATCGCCAGGTTTGCTTTTTTCTATTTTCATCTTATATTCAGGTCTCACTACTAGTAGCTGAAACTTTAAAGTACCATAACATGTTTAGGTAGCCACCATTGCATGGTTTGAAGCTGATTCTGTTTGTGGGAGTCACTCTGTTGCAATTCCTATAGTTCTTGTGCTGCCATATTTTTTCCGACTCTTTCAATGTCTTCGACAATATAAGGATACTAGAGAGAAGAACACTCTACTTAATGGTATATGCCTACCTGTCTTTCCCATCTGCACTTTAATATTTGATGCTTCAGCTGCCTTGCCTATTTGCTTAAAGATGAATATTTTTTTGGCTTAGTTTCTTATAAGTTCTCCTTGATTCGAATCTCGGTTGGGTGCACACAAATGACACAATACCCTTGAGGCCTTGACAATAAATGTAGCACTAATATTTATTGTTTGACATATGGTTTCAGCATTAAAGTATTCAACTGCAGTACCTGTGATATTTCTATCGGCCCTTAAGTATCATGTCTTCCCTGAAAACTGGGTTAACTTCTATCGTCCTTTGTGGCTTCTCTCCAGCGTTTTGAACTCACTTTACTCATTCTATTGGGATCTGAACAGAGACTGGGACCTCAGGCACGTAGTATCTTCTTTTGCTAACTCTTATACTTCTTATTGGTTCTTGACACTGTTACATTCCTTTATTTGAAGATCTTCATGCATACACATGGGGGTGGGGTTATATATTTGCTTTCAAGACTTCAAATTATAATTTCAGTTCTTTCATATTTTCTATGAAAGTTTAAATTTATTTATCTATCCTAAAACAAACTCTTTTGGAATTAAGGCTCGGATGTTGTTGTATCTCTGTCCTGTAATGAGTTTCATTTCTAGTTTTTTTGGCCGCCAAAAAGAGTTGAGTTTTACAAGGCAACTTTGATTGTGAGTAAAATCCTAATCCTTGTAAAGCCAAGAAGTAGTTTAGCTAATTACTGTAAAGAATCTTGGAATTGGTTTTTGTGGCACAAGCAACCAATGTTAACTTGTAAAAAGTAAAAACGCGTGCCTTCACTGAATTGACTAAATAAAAAGATGAAACATGACTCTTTTTTTGTTCGGTGAGGCGAAGTTTGCCAAAATTTGTACTTGAGGTTTGCATTACTGTATTAAATCTATGGAGTCATTTTTTGTTCTGATTCTATTCATACATTCACAGGATTGTATAAACTTCTAGCAAGCATTTATTGAGTTGTTTACCTAATTTGAATCCCAGTAATATACTAATATATTATGTGTGATGAATCTGTGGCATAATTCAAAATATGACCAGAGTTCTTTCTTTTCTGGCAGTTGCTTTACTCGAATTTTCAAGTTCAACAAGCCTCATTTCTTATCAAACATGTTATATGGACGGAAGTGGGTAAGACTGTTTTACCCTATTCTCTTTGTTTCTAATAGACAATAATTCGGTAAATTTATGTTTTACCTCTGTAGTTACTAGTTAGTCTAGTTTTGTCTACCAATATAGCCGCTGCCTTCATTTAGGCCATGTTTGGTTCATGTTTTTGTAGGGGAGGGGAGGGGAGGGAACGTTCCCCCATTTCCTAGTTTAGGTAAGAAATTCAGGAGGGGAAGGGAGCTAAAATATGTTCTTAGTTTCTCTCCCTTTTTCTGTGTTTCCTTTCTTCAAATTGGAGGCTAGTTCGTGTCCTTTTTCTCTTTGAAACAAACATAACCTTAGTCTCTGTTAAGAACCCATAGGTTGAGAGGGAAATGAAATATTGGGGAAACTTTGAAGGAAAGAAAGTTTAGGGAAAATTGAAAAAGATGGTTTAAAGACACACAAAAAGAAAACAAAATATTTCCTTGGGCATTTTTCCATTGCATTTCCCAGTCCGAATCATATTGACTTGTGGGTCCCCCTCAAACTTGGGACGTTGCAGGTTTATATATGGGTAATTGGGAGCAACCTGATACTTAGATGCACATGGACATACAAGCTGTCTGCCCATCTCCGCCACAATTACATAACATTATTCACAATTACTGCCCTGGAGATCTTCCGGCGCTTCCAGTGGGCCTTCTTCCGTGTGGAAAATGAGTGGAATAAAATGACCAACAAATCAAACATTCAGCTATCCATCACTGATCTGTCAAGCGAAGAAGAAAAGTTAGTCAACTCCAATAATCATAATGTATAGGGCTGCTCCCCCTTTCTTCTTTATAACTCCAATAGTCAACGGAGTTATAGACATTCTATTCTTTTTGCTCTTTTTCACATTACAGAGTATGATCTTTTCCCAATAGTATATAGAATACCCTAGACGATTATGTTGTCTAGGTATAGATGATGAGCTTCCCTTAAAAAACCAGAAAAAAAATCATATTGTTATTAATGTGAACTTTTTTGCAGTTAATTACTCTATCAACTAAGATTAGATACCGGAATTTCTAAAGTGGATGATTCTGAATCAAATTTTGCGGATGGACCAAAAATGAGAAATAATAGTGGGACAAGAAACTATATTTGAAATCCATGAGAAATGTTTAGATATAAAGCACACAATTTCATTTTTTAAGTATTTGCTCCAAACTTATCGGAACGGATGTAGTATGTTTCAAAGATTAATAAAAAAGCATGTTATCATTTTGTTGATGGATCAAACATTTTATCTATTTGAATTAAGTATTTTTTTGCGTTAAATACTTTTTATTCTAAATCAGGTGATTGTTTCTTTTTATATTAATGAGCTGTGACACTCATCTATCTATTTTTTACATATAAATGTCTTTTCTAAACCTTAAATAAGAAGAAAAAGAACCTTAAATAAGACTAGATTCTACATCCAAAGACTACCTCACAGGCTCACAAGTTATCTGTTATCCAAAATAAACTTGAATCGCATAGATGTTTGGTCAAATGGTTTGAATTTTGAACCCGTGGATTCTATTGCTCCAATTCTTATTCGAAGTAGAATACTCCGAAATCCGAATTGATTAGTTTGAAAAAAGGTTCAAGGCCTCAAAGGTTTCTTAATTGCCATGAACTATCCAATACATAATTGTATTTATATAAATTGCTCTAAATAGGAGTAAAAATTAGGAGTGAGCATAGTCTGAACTCTCAATCGGTTTGAGTAATTGATAAATTTTTAAGAATTGCTTGTTATTCCATCATGTTGGTTCCATTTTATTGTCATCATTTTTTTATACGGAGTATGAACTAAAGGAACTTTTTTATGCGTAGTATTATATATTATCAGAAAGTGTAACGATCCATCAACCTATTAGTTCTTTTTTTAAAATCAAACAATTGAAGCGGTCAGAAAGCGGGTATACCAATTACCAAGTTTTGAAATAGGAATTGGACCTTACTCGCACCATTTTAAACGAGCTCGTTTGGTCCTAGTTCTCGGTTCTTTTTTTTTGTAAAAAAATTGCTACGCTGTCACAACGATGAGCATAATACGCGATTTGATCGGAGAAGCAGATCGAGATAGTGAAAGAGCTTAGGGTTCTATATTTGAATTCAGAATTCAAACTACTTTTGAAATAAACAAAAGTTAATAAACAAAGGTGGAAAGGGAGAAGTCAAAAAATGAAAGAAAAAATGTAGTGTGATATAAATGAAATAAGATAGTTCAAAGTAGCTCAAACAAGTGATTACAACTAATTTTTTAAATGGAGTAGTAATAATATACCTCTTTCATCATTTATTAATCAGGACTCCTTGACAGCAAGGGGACTCGAGAGAAACTCTCCTCCGTAACTAGGGTTTCCGCATCTAGCAGCACAACCTAGTCGGCGGTGAGCTTTCTACAAGTAGAGTCAACGGAATCCGGATTATCGACAGAGACAAAGACCAAGTTAACATACAAATTGATGTCAACATGATGCCAAGTAGCACTGCGGTCTCTCCCTAGCAGGTCTAGGCTTTGGTTTTTCCTTAGCAGATCTAAGGTTGGGATTGGATTTGTGGCAGATTGACAAGAATCCTTGCCCAAGTTTGACGACATTGAAGCCAGAGTTCGGTGATTAATTTCTTCGTGAGCAGGGTAGCAAGGGCATGGTAGCGATGAAGATGTCCGCTAGCGGTGAATTTGCTACGAGCGCGGGACGAGGAGAGGTGCACGAATTTCGAGCAGGCCAGATGATGATTGACAATGAAGGATCAATTAGAGCGGTACCAAGGATACGACCACCTCCTGAACCACCGCCATGGGTTGTACGAGGTGCTAGAATCCGTGGAAGTTTTCCTATTAGTTATTTTTATTCTGTCATTTGGCTTCTTGTTATCGTCTATGTGGTTAGGTTTGTCAGTTTGCTTGGGAGTTCAGCCTTTTTTTATGTCATTGAGCATGTTTGGATCTATCGGAACATGGATGACTGTGTCAAGCCCGCTACATGGTTAGCGATTCGCGTTGCTCTTTCAGGGGTGACCGTATCTAAGTCTGATCATAGGGGTTACAGTCGTAGTTGTTGGATTTTAGTTGGTGTTAGTTTTGTTTTTCCTTTAATGTAATGATCCTGAAACTTATATATGAAAAGGCTAGTTGACGATAAAAAAATGGAGTAGTAATAAGCTGTAAGTACCAGGGATGGCTCAAGGGAGGGGCAACAAGCGCAATGACACCCAAGGCCTCAAAATGTAGAATGCCCAAAAAACATTTAATAGTAATATTATGTGGCCCAGTAGCCCAAGTCCAAGAAAAAAATGTAGTGGTGAAACCAACATCCTTCGTCCTTCCCCATCGTTGTCGACTCAGTTTTAGTTATACTGAGTATAATTATTTTCTATTTTTTTATTGACATCTGATATCCTCGGTTATCCAAGACTAATCCGGAGCCTTGTGATCCTAGTCGGCAAAGAATCACAAAAAGGTAAATCAGCCTAAGTTGTCCATAGTTGACCGGCTCACAACTTGGGAAGGTCACAATAATCATTCTCATTACTCGAATTAAGATCTTAAATTGCCCCTGAGACTTAAATCATATGAAATGACCGCCTAGGTGAAATGACCACTCAAGCTGGGGAGTATTGACCACTCAAGCTGGGGAGCGAGTATAGTTAAAGGAGGTAAATTTTGACGCTTTGACTCTTTGCTTCTAGTCCGATATAGGTAAATTTTAATCCAGCTTCTCCAAGTGTCCAGCTATAGAGGTGTGAATAGTCTCTCGTAACTCTCTACGGTTTCAGGCTTGGGGATTGTGAAGCTTATAGTCTCAAACACGACTGACTTCTTCCAACTCTTCGCTCCTTCATGCGCAGATCTTCTTCCAGTTAATCAGTTACGAAGGTATTTCGCAGACATAAGTTATAGTTTAAGTTGGGTGTTGTATGTGGTTTTGATGGTTTTTGTTTATTACGATGAATTCTGCTTTAGTATAATTAGATAATACGGAGTATGGAATTTTCTTTTTATTCTGTTTTTTATCATTCTCTTTATTCTGTTTGTTAGGATCATATTCCATCTTTTCCTGCTCAGGTCTATAACCTTTCACTCCACTCACACACCACTCTAAGCTAGACTCGCTACACCACTCAACATGTTTACAGTCCCAAGCTTCCACACAAAGGGTCTCAAGGAGGAAGGAGAACACTATGCTGCTAATACTTCTAATAATAGGATGTTGGCCGCTTGACAATTCACGGGTAACACCAAGCCGAAGGGACAGACTGCCATGGACAAACTAGGGGGCCAAAGCCAGATAAGAGGTGAGTCAAAGGACAGGAGAGATCAATAATAGGAATGGAACAGTGGGAGTAAACATAGGGTGAAGTCAATAATAAAATGGAAGAGAGGTCTTGGTAGGACCAATACCTCCAACATTCTCCACCTTATTGGTCCTAAGTGGTGTAGAGTAACAATACAAGGTTGTTAGGAGACTCATCATCGCCGGACCATTACAAGTACATCATGCAGATAATACAAGTAATAGATGAGAACCAAAGTTCCCTTTCGGACCAAGCTTACCATGCAAACCCAAATCATAATGAACTGAACTCTACCAATCAGTCCTCGAGTTCAGAACCGAAACCATCATGAAACTATTAACAAACACAACGCATGTTAATAGACCACGCAAGCAAGCAACCGAGAGAAGTTGGGGATTCCAACTAATCCAACAACCACACAAAGCAAGTACACAAAAAATAAAAGAAACAATATTATTTCTATAACTAGCACAGGAAGAGCTCACATAATCACTTGGTATCACATTTTCAAAACACAAAGAAAATAGCATACCAAATATCACAAAGATTTTAATCAAAAGAGATTTAAGCACATTTAAAGCAAACTCGGAGGAAATATAGTCAAACACTTGACTTATTATTTCTCTCATGCTCCCTAATGTCTCTCTCTAATAACATGACAATCACGCAACTCAAACATATTGCACATAACATTCAAATCATGCTCCACCTTAATAGAAATATTATTTTCTTTATTTTCAACTTGAAAAACATTTTCAGACACAAATTTGGGTTCGGTTCCAACAAGTAAATCAGAATGAACTTCAACAGGCAAATGCTCCACCTCATTTGGAGCAACATCAGGAGAAACAAGCAAGCAAGGAAACTCATTTTCAACAAAAATGACATTTCTACTTAGCAACACATTAAAGCACGTTTCACTCCTACACCAAAGCCTATAACCTTTCATGCATTCATTATATCCTAAGAAAACAAATTCCTTTGTCCTAGGTTCAGATTCATCATTCTCATGATTCACATAAGCAGCACAACCAAACACTCAAATTTGTCAAGTCAAGCGGTTTGCCCGTGAACACAGATTCAGGGCATTTTCCTCCTAAGGGAACAGACGGGGACATATTAATCAAATAAGCAACATAACAAATAGCCTCCTCAAAACTTTTTAGAAAGCACAGATGATGTTAACATAACCCTCACCCTCTCTAAAAGAGTTTTAACCATCCTCTCAGCAACCCCATCCGGTTGGGTGTGGAGGGAACATATTTACGCAAAGAAACACCCAAGTATCACATAAATCACTAACCTGATCATCACAGAAATCAAAACTGACATTTGTCCTTAAACACATTATTTTCTTACCAGTTTGATTTTCAACAAGGGTTTTCCAGTTTTTAAACTTATCAAAAACATCAGATTTATTCTCTATCAACAAAACCCACACTTTCTTTGAAAACTCATCAACCAAAGTCAGAAAATAATTTTTCCCACCATGAGTGGAAACACTACAAGGACCCCACAAATCAGCATGAATACAATCAAGCACACCGGTACAATTAGGCAGATCACGAAAACTAACTGTAGATTGTTTTCCTAGCACACAGGGTTGCATACAATTCACAGAATCAAGAATAGGTTCAGCATGACAAACATACAAGTTGTTTTTCATCTCAGCTTTAAAAACAACTAAACAACCCTTCACAACTTTCATGATTCCCTTTCCCCATTTTCCC